TCACAATGTGGAGAACGCTATGAATAACTGGTCCTCTTCCGGAGGCAGAGATGTCCAACCAGGAGCAGAGGGGCAAAGCTAAGGTGCTAACGTGCTGACTTATTTGAAGAGCTGGCCGTTCAGATCTTCACGCGCACTTGTCTCGTCGGCCAAATTTGCAGAGCGGGACTCCTGCGCAGTAAGCAGATTTATGGAGTGGGTGAGTCTCGACTCGCAAAGTCTATGACTCAGCAATGTCTGCTTGACATTTATTACACTCAAGCAGACTGGCAGCCATAAATCCAGCTTTACTTTCGCTGTTAAATGCCTCCTTTCCTGAAACAAAGGAATAAAGGTGAGCTGTCCACAGCTGCGCTACTTACCAAAAAATGTAATAAAAAATAACAAAAGGTCATGTTGGAGTAGGATCACTTTAATAAGAAAAAATATGTGCATACTTCATCCAGGGCACATAAGGGCGCATGCTGTGGGGAGCTACAGGGAGGCGGCATGGACACTCTGTTGATGGAGCAACTAGGATTCCCCAGTGGCTGCTCTGAGATTCTAATGGCTGGCCTTCAGCTACCTGTGTGATGTTCCTGTACTGGTTTAAAGCCCATCTGGCTGGCAGAGCTGTAGGCACAGACGCTGGTGGCTTGTGGGATGAAGGGGAACAAACTCTCAGGGGTCCCTTAGCTTGGGTTGGGGGTTGTTGTGGTGTACAGAGGACAAGAGACAGATAACGGTGTCTCTGGTATTCACAGCGACAGCTTCTGGGATACAATGGGTTTTCCGCTCTTTGGGAAGCTCTTCCCTAGAGGAGTTGTTCTAGCGGCAACCCCCTCCAACATGTGCTTTAATGCCGTCACATCTTCAAAATGAGCATGCTTGGAATGGGGGTGACGGACAAGACGGTTTTAAAGACCAGTTGCAGTTCTCTGTTATACTGAATAACTACTAGCTAGTTGGAGGGTCACAAAGAGAGAAGAAAGGCAGTTTGTAGGGCCTTTTCAAATCTATCAGAAGAAAATTCAAAGAGTATAGCTGGGTTGTGGAGGCATGTTCAGCTTCCCAAGGACTCAGGCTGCCTCTCTAGCACACCATCTTCATCATCATCTTCATCACCACCACCTCCATCACCTTAGAAATCTCTTCCCTTTAGGCTGAAGGGATCACTATTTGAACAGCATGGTAATATAGTTCACGCACTCAGGAAGCTGAGGCAAGAGGATCATGGGTGTATGGCCAACCTCAGCTACAAACCCCAGGCCAACATTAAATAATGACAATGAAGACTGTCTCTCAGCCTCACTCTTAATACTGAGTAACTGAAGTTCAGGGGGAAAAAGTCACATAATGTGTCCAAGATCAAAACAAAGCATTGGCATAATAATACATTAACCCCACCTATCTCTATCATTTTCCCATAATCTATCTTTGCTTGTGTTTAATAACTTATTGTTAAATTAGCCTATCTGTATGACCTAGTTAGATTTCTGTTGCTGTGATTAAGAATTCTAACCAAAAGTAACTTAGGAGAAAGAGTTTATTTGGCTAACAGCTCAATGTCCACGATTGAGAAGAAGCCCAGGCAAGAGCGTAGAGCCAGGGACCAAAGCAGAGACAGCAGAGAAACGCCGCTTTCTCTGCCTTGCTCTGCCTGCTTCCTCACACAAGCAGGCCCACCTGCCTAGGGGCAGCACCATGCACAGTGGGCTAGGCCTCCTTCCAATTAGCAATCAAGAAAATGTCACACAGACATGCCCACAGGCTAGTCTGCTAGAGGCAGCTCTTCAGTAGAGATCCTTTCTTCCCAAGTGTGTCAAGCTGACAGCAAAGATTTGATGTCACCCAGACTCTGATAAACAGCACACATGCACACTCATGCGCGTGTGCGCATGCACACACACACACACACACACACACACACACACACCTCTTACACCTCTTGTTTTAATTTGGATCATCATCGACAAAAGAGTACATGGTTTCTTTAAATTTTTTTAAATGTCTTTTCCTTCTGGTGGTTCCCATTTCCCTTCTCAGATGGTTGGCTAAAGATAATTTCAAAGGGAAAATGATTAGTACTTTTTAAATACCAGCAATAACTGAGAAAGTAACAGACCTTCCCTAGAAGATGGTCTCTTGCTTGCACTACAGCAGTGGAGAGAAGCCACAAATAACACCTGACCATGAAGTTGGGGAGGGGAAGAACGGGGCGGGGCTATCTTGGAGCCAGTGAGTGTGGCAAGGAGCAAAAAACAAAGATGAAATCTCAATATTTGCTTCTTTCTCTCCTAGCACTGCCAACAGCCAAAGCCTGGTTGAACCCCAAGTCCCAGGAGACTTCTTTCATCACAAGACCCCACAAGAATTCACAGGGGACACTTGTCTAGTTTTCAGGGTTAAACTTTGTAAACCCAAGAGCGATGAGGGAAGAAAAGCTATACAAAGAGGGTAGTCATAGGCTTATGAGCAGCCTTAAATTAAGTGGTTATAAGGAGGATAAATGAAGAATAAATACTTTAAAAACTACTTTTAGGGAGCAAGCGTGAACCTGGCTTTTCAGCTTGCCTTGCAAATGGCATGGAGTCTCGAAATTCCTTGCTATCAGTCACATTTGCTAGATAAGAGTGACAAAAAGAAAACAAAGGTAGAAAGGACAAGACACCCCAAACTTCTGACAGTGTAATCCTCAAGGCCTGTGGCCACAAAGGCCACAGTAGGAAATGAGGAGCTAGCTGGCAGCATTCGCATACAGAGCCGAGCCATAGGAGTCCATCCATGTACCAAGAGCTGAAGACTGGCAACCTGCAGGGCAGGGCTTTCTTCCCACAGTCTGCTCTGGCCCAGAACCTGACAAGTTCTCTCTAGGTGTGAGTGGAAGCTCTCTTTCTTGCACACTGGCTGTCCTCCATTACATCATTCTGAACCCAGCCGAAGAGATTAGGTTATTGATAGAACAGGCAAATATTCCTACACGCTTGCCTACACAATCTGGAGCTAGTAATATTAGAGGAGCTGATCACTCTCCCAGTTTGCAGCTTCTCAGAGACTTCTCCAAGAGGAGTGCACCAAGGGAGAGAGAATAACTCCTGACTCGCCAGTGATAGTCACCAGTACTAATGTGACAGCCTTGATTAACAATGGAGTCAGTTTTGATCAACATCCGAAGACAGTTTTGAGATGAACATACATGCGTGCGCATGCGTGAGCACACACGTACACACACACACACACACACACACACACACACACACACACAGAACCTGAATGGTCTCAGAGCAGATCCTTCCTTAGCCACTGGCTAAGAGGAGGCTTGAATGCTCCTGGCCTTCCTGCCAGACATTCCACTACTTCCTTGAAAAGCAGCAGCTCCGGTGGGAAGTGTGTCGAGAATCCTCCGAAGAGAATCACAGGGGAAGCCATTATTGTGTGCAGCTGTTTTCATTTCCTTCAAGTAAAATCAGCGCTGTGTATGCATTCCCTCGTTCTCAGAAGCCCAGTCGCCCTTAGCCCTCACTGACTCTGGTGACCACAGGAGAACTTGAGCTTGGACTTGGGATAACCTCAGCTGACTCCGAGTGACAGTAGGTTGTGGATCACTTATTAATGGCAGTTGGAAGGAATTAGATTTTTTTTTCCCTTACTCATATAATTTAAAGATTACAGAGTATGGGTTTTAAAGGTCAGAGTGAATTACTAATTAAGTTGAAGCATTTGAAATTAGCATGTAAAACCTCTACTCATAATAGCGATTAAGGAATAATTAATCATGTGGAGGAATATGGCTGCCAAGTGGGGACAGTGGTAAAATTACTTTTTAACTAGTTACTATGGAGTTTCCAGATGATGTCACTGGGAAACTGGATAGTCCTAGCTCCATTTCCTTCTCTTTAGGCTGCTGGGTTTGTTGTTGCTGTTTTCAAACTAAGGGCTATGAAGATAGCCCATCAGTAAACACCTTATCAAAGTGCTTCCTATACAAGCAACAGAGACCCCACATTCAAGCCCCACCTAACTCAGATAAAGTCTGGATATGGTGGCACATCCTTGAAATCCTAGTGCTGTGGAGATAGAAACAGCAAGACCTGTGGGGCTCAGGGGCCAAAGCAAGGTTGTGAGAGACACTGTCTCAAAAACAAGGTGGATGGTGCCCGAGAAGGAACAACACCCAAGGTTATCTTCTGGTCTCCAGGCAGAGGAGCATGCATCCCCTCCCCCACACAGTGCTTTTATAAACCGCACGCGCTTAACAGGTTTTCAAACGGCACAATTAAGGCAGATGTTCACTAGTGCTGCCGACCTCATGGGTGCTAAGGAGCACACAGAGCAGCCGGAGTGTGTACCTGTTATTCCAGATGTGAAGGAATCTACAGCCATGGTATGAGAGATGTATTCTCAAAACCACTGTAATTTTACTATAAATTACTATAAAGGCAGACATTTCAACCACCATAATATCATTTCAGATACTCTGAAGGCCAATGTTGACTCCTCTTTTTAAGAATTTAGAAGCCTTTTGGGAGGCCAAGGCAGGACACTGACAGTTCCAGGCAAGCCTGAGCTACAAAGAGAGACCTTGTCTCAAAATAAATAAATAAATAAATAAATAAATAAATAAATAAATATACATAAAAGAACAAACAAAAGTATAACTTAAAATAATTAATAAACTTTTGATTTTGTTTGCTGGTTATTTGGTGTTGTCTGGTGGTATATCTACCAGTTTTGGATTGTGTGCTTAGTCTATCCTGACACACTCAGGATGGCAGCTTCTTGAATGCTCAGATGGCAGATGTGGCTGCCACATCTGGCCTTTGCACATCCAATTTAAATATCACACAGTTGATTTTCCTCACGGATCTTCGATGAGGAAAACCACTAAGGCAGCACGCACAGGCAGACTCGTTATCTTAAGCAGTTTTATTAATCAGCTAATCCACACAACAAACCTATGAGGTAGTTTAACATGCCTTGAATATGAACAGATTCGAAACCAGAAATGAGGAGGGGATCCATCCCTACAATAATATGTGGAACAGACAGATCCTTCTTAATTTTATTCTTACAAATGAAAAGTAATCCATTGGACAAGCTGATCAAGTGAATGACAGACGGGTTGGTGGGGGGTGTGGTTACGACCTGGCAGTCTCCTACTGGGCTTAGTGTTTTTGTATTCCCACTGGCTTGTCAAAAAAAAAAAAAAAGAAGTCTCACTCAGCTTTGACCGAAAGGCGGGGAGTTCTGCAGGAAGTCAGTGCTGTACATGTGGCCCCTTGTTCTTGCCTTTTGATATGGTTGGCCTAATAAACTTACTCCAACAGACAGCGTGAAGATCCCTGCAGTTCCAATTTATGTTCCTATGTCATCTAAGAGGCCAAGAAAGTTCAAATCCTATTGGTCTTCCAGCCCAGCAGCAGTAGATGAGTTTTATGGCTACTTTATCAGCAGAAGGGATCATTGCTGCATTTGCTGCTTAGTGGATTGCTTTATGAGCATATTTATTAGTTTGCCGGGCTGTGGCGACTGTATATAAGGAGAGCTCGTCAATCTGGGACTCACTGCTGTGACATTTGTGGCCACTGGCACACAAGTTAGCCTCAAGCTTATTTCTGCACTAAAAGGGAAGAACGTTTTGTAAAGCAAATTTGAATTGTATTGCCAGGACAGGACTAGGGAGTGATTTAGTCTCCATGGGAATCAGGGCTATATGCTTGGAGTTCAGTGGTAGAGAACAGGAACAATGCGTGTCAAATTCCCGAGATTATGTCATGGGATGGGAAGAGAAGAGAAAGACCATATCAACCATCAATGACTGTCCAATTGAACATAGACATCTCGGTTTAACACAGAGTTAATGGTGTGTGTGTTTTCCTTGTGTTCCAGGGTGTCCAGAGCGATGGCAGCATGTGTCTCTCTTCTTTCCAGCAGAATTAACTGGCCGTTTGAAAACATTTGCCCTAAATCCAACTCCCATCTACCCACAATGAAATCAGAAAGTAATATAAGACTTAATTAAACATACAGCCACACCAAAGGAACAGTGCACAGCAGTTTTCTGTGTAGAGGTGTTCCTATTCTATGGTCCCTAGGACACAGGAGCATTTCTGAGCTCTCCTGCATCACGTGGTCTGGGCAAGTGTTCTTCACGGTGTGCTGGAACGAAACTCCCCTTATCTGCGTGGGCTTGAATAAACGTGAGGACAATCAAACCGACAAGATTTCTGGTGGGGTGCTTGAGTCAGCTTGCCAAAGAGCAATGGTATTTCGATGAGGCACTCTGAAATAATCAGATTATTGGAGCTGGAGGTTCAACTATAAAGGGCTTGGCAAGGCTTCACTGTAACGCAAAGGGAATCTATGTTCCTAGGCTTTTCTATCTTAGGTCGTTAAAAAGAAATAAACACAACACTTCAGGGAAAGAGCTCAGGCACTAAACATAAACAGAAAAAAAGATTTAAAAATACAAAACTCAGACTATGCTTAGTTTACAGCAGAATCGGCAAATAAAGCTGTATCCCACACATTCAGAAGAGCCATCACTGGACGGTTGTAGCTCTGTTGTGTGCTTCTTCCCAAAATAGCAAAATAGAACTCGTGTCACCACACCCGTCCTCCTCCCCACTTGCAGCGTGGGGTGGTGTGTGACCTTCCTTTTCGCAGCCACAGTGACTGTGACCCCCTCACACAACAAAACAGGCACCTTAAGAACAACACTGTACATCCGTGTCGTCTCATGTATTGCTCACTGGCTGTAACCACTTCAGATCTCCGTGGAAAGCAATGACGTCTGGAAAAGTCCGACTTCATTAGATTGGTGGTCACAAGGTGTAAAGGGCTGCTCCAGCCAGCTGAGAGCCCAGGAACGAAAGTTCTGCATCTACCTTGTGGTGTCTACAAGACACTACCTCCCATCCCAATGCAGAGCAATTAACCCTGGAGGAGGAATTTTACAGTTGCACTCAGACTCCATCCCGTCTGGTCTATCCTCTACCCAGAGGCATTCTTTTTCAAATCACCGATTCCCAGCTCGGCAACTCGATGGAAGAGAAACAGAAGAATGGAGCTTCTTTAGGATTTAGTCACTTTCTCCCGAATCATCACTGTCCCAAATGAAAGCCCACAACTCAGGCCAACTTTCTAAGAACTACTTCCATCTCACTCTGGGGTTTTCATTCTCCTTCGGATACCTTCAGTAAAGCATCACACCAAGGTCAGCTGCTACGGCAACATTTGGAGTTAATAGGATCATCATGCAATCAAACTAATTCTTTTCCTAAGCTATGATCTGGCAGCTTGCAAGGAGAACTTGGCTTAATCTTGGGAAGCTCTCCATCAAGGTGATCCAGGGTGAAGGTCCTTCCTCTCTGTTCCCACCTACTCTCATGCTCCTGGCATGTAGAGACAAGGCTGGCTCATGGGTGTGAAGCAGGAAGGACCAGTAGTCTGTCTGTTACATAACTTCCACAAAACCACTATTTGTTCTGTTTCTGTGGGTGTTGTCACCAACTATGTTCCCCGTGATGACAAAAGTATGCTTGTTAATGGATCTAGGAGACTTACATGATACTCATGAAGGGTCTCACGGAATCACTGCAACTCTAAGGAAATCTAGAATAAATAGGAAATTAAATTTTTTCACTCTTTGTAAGTTCAAATAATGCTCCAACTAGCTGCTGTGCGATTGCAGTTTGGAACTTGTGCTAAACATGTTACCGAGAAAGGATTCTTTAAACTCATCTGAGTATAATTTGCCACTAAATTAAATGAAGAAAAGAAATCTTATCTACTTCCAAAAATCAGGATTGGTCATGTGTTAATCTGTGCATCCTCGAAAGAAGTGTTCATTGCTCGAGAAAGGGTCCTCTTGGGGTGGGTGAGCAGTTCTCTGCCACAGAGAAATGCCGGCATCTCTTCTCAGCTCTTGACTGATGCATTCACTACTTATTCTTCAGGCTGTAAGACAGAAAGGAAGACAATGGTACTCTCCTCCATAATTACACAGGCTGGCACTCCCCTCTCCCACTCTCCCTCCCTTCAACCCCAACACCATCACATTTAAATTAGGGTGAATTTAGATGGTGAGTCATTTTAGCGTGTGTGAGTATGTAGTATGAGCGTGTGTGTACACATGTGTCACATCTGTATGGCAGTCAGGAACAACGTCAAGTTTCCATCCTTATTTCTCTCCACCTTTACCCTCTTAGCCATCTCCCCAGGTCTTCTATAGTGATTCTTTTACGAGATTAAATAATCTGTATTATGTAATGGCTGAATGATCAATGCCATCTCCATATTGTGAAGAATCTGCACTTCTATACTCAATCCAGATACTTGCTCCTTTCCAAATGATCTTAATAGAAAAGCAACAGATGCCCAAAGGTGGTTGGTTCCTTCCATAATATTTGTGCCACTATTGCACTAGTAAACCTTGCAGATAGGCTTCTGTTGTAGGTCAAAGGGTTTGTAGGTGGGTGATATTGATGCCTGTTCTCCTTTGATAGCTTGCATAGGACCTTCCAGCATCACGAATGCTGGCTAGTAGGAGTAAAGCTCCTAGCTGGGCACCAGCTTGACTCTACCATGTTTGGCTGCATAATGGAGTGTTGTCTTTAGCAATAGGTCTTTACCATCAGGTTGTGGAAAGCAACCAATAGCTTTTACAATAGTCTGTAATGCTTAGGGGATTTCATGGGACTTCTTTTGGTCAAACACTCATCCTGGCAGTAGAGCCGTAACTTGGTAGTGAAATATGTCTGGTTGGGTACTGTCTCTCCTGTTGGGTTTAAGGCTCACTATATAAGATGCAACCTATAACCTGATATTGCTAAAAATAGCCAAGCACTAAATAGACTTAAAGGAAAATCCAATATTATTGTTATGTCACAGGAACACAGCAATAAAATGAATCCTAATGACACACTGCTATCTATACAGTTCAACCTGCATCAGAGAAGCTTCTTGCAGTGGGTGAGAATTAACAAAGACACCCACGATTGAGCAATGCTCAGAGTTAGAGACTTTAGAGCACCTGGACCTAAATGGGATGTCTTTATCAAACGCTTCCACTCAAGGCTCAGGGATCAAAGTGGAAGAGAAAGCAGAAAAATTATACGAGCCAGAGGTGATGGATGACTCCAAGGAAACAGCATCTTCCAGATGCTCAGAGAGATTGTGGTAGCATCTGCAAGGTCTGCAGAGGTTCGAGCTAGATGGGGTCCCAGTTCTGAAAAGTGGGAATAGGCACCAGGATCTCACCTCTATGTAAGAAATTACGTGCAGCTTATACCGGTCATTTTGCTCTAGTCTTCCCTGGCCTTCAGCTCCCACAATCTCCCTGCCCTATCTTCCACGATGGGCCTTGAGCCTTGGGGGATGAGGTATGATATAAATGTAATATGGTGGCTGAGCACTCCAGTCATTTATTCTTTGTACTTTACCCAACTGTGAGCTTCTTAATCAACCACCATCTAAGGATAGAGAAATGTCTCTGATAAGATATAAGATATGAGAGCTGTACTAAACTATAGAGAGAGACCCATGAATTTAGAAGACTGTTTGATACCATGTCCATTTAGCATAAGAGCACTAAGAGGATTTACCCCTAGGGCCTGTGAGCTCCCCAGCCATGGATTCTTGGCCACATTTGCAGTAGCAGGCATGAGTTTCCTCCTGTGGAGTGGGCCTTAAATCCTATTAGAAAGCAGTTGGTTACCCCTCTAACATTTGTGTGACTATTACACCTATGGGCATATCTTGTCATGCTGGCTATTATTGCAGTAAACAGGGTTCACAGATAAGTCATACTTTTTAGGATACCTCCACAGCAGCTTGGATAGCATCTTTCTGTACGGAGAGCCAGATGTCTTGATGGCAATTTAATGAAAATGTTCAACATCTACAAAGTGAAACACTTTCACTCATATACAAAACCTCATTTTCCAAAAAAAAAAAAGCTTCTGTTGAATATTCTGAGGATTAGAATGCTGTCAGTATAATGCAAAACCACAAAGAAAAGACGGCTCCACACTTTTTCTTCTTTCTAATGGCGGCTTTGAAGTTTGGCCTTGAAATGACCTTGGAAACCACAGCCTTGTTTAAAAATACTTCCCCTAAAAAGAAAAACCCTATTAAAAGAAAACAATCTTGCATTTGGTCTCTGTCACCAATAGTTCGTGACCTAAGGAAATCCTCCTGTCCTTGTCAACTGTATGAATTAATGCAACATAAAGGCCAAAAGTTCATACTTAGCAGGCAAGTATAATTCCATTTCCATAAACTGTGGAGATGAACGTTTTTCAAATGAAAATGAGCCTGGACCGCACATCCGTGGGTACCAGTCAGGAGTGCAACCACATCCATGGGTACCAGTCAGGATCGCACATCCGTGGGTACCAGTCAGGATCGCACATCCATGGGTACCAGTTAGGAGTTCAAGCACATCCACAGCAAGCAGTCGCCAATCCCGACTGCATCGTTCTTGGAATCCAGACAAGTGGGAATTTTGTTTAAACTTATAGTGAAAGTGGTCTATTAAGGATTTAATCTCATAATGAGGAAAAATACCACTCAGTTCCCTTTATAGTCAGCATAATTATTCAGATCCTTTCTGAATGCAGAGAAGTGATGACAAATTAAAGGGTCTTTCAATTCCATATAGCTTTTTATAATTATTCCCCTGTAGCTGCTATCCTTGCTGGAATGGCTCCTTCGTATTTTATGTAGCATTCCATTGGATACAAAGAGCATGGAAATCTTTACTGCTATTAATAAATATGGAGCTGTTCAATCCGAGCAGAAAATTCCTTTTCATCTGAGAGATAAGCTGCATAATTCATATATTTTCAGAAATTTCTTAAAATAGGAAATTGAAGGAAAGCAGAGGAAGGTGAATTCATGACATTGTTTCTGGTTCTGTGGAAGGTGAGTGTTCCAGTTTGCTGTCTGTCGTTGTGATAAACACCGGGATGAAAAGCATATTTCATCATATAGATTATAATCTATCATCAAAGGAAGCTATAGCAGGAGCCTGGAGCGGATACTAAGGTGGCAACCAAGGAGAAATGGCTTTTGCCTGGCTTGCTCCCAGGCTCACACGGCGCTACCTTTTTGTACAAGTTAGGCCTGCCTGCTTATGGAGGGTACTGCCCACAGGATCCGGCCCTCCTCCATCAATTACTAATCAAGGAAACTCACTACAGACATGACTGCAGGCCAGTCCATCAGAGACAGCTCTTCAGCTGAAAAGCCCTCTTTCCCAGGTTTGTCGGGCTAGCCACGAGATTGATCATCACTTGTAGTCTCACGGTCTGTGTCCAGTTGGATCGAGTTGGAAGAGAGAATTTCACTCGCCAACTACACATGCCAATAACACAGCTCCCTCTACAGCCAGCACACACAGTCAGTAAGCAGGATAAGCCTACCGGCCCCCTGTAAACACTTGCAACCTTTCTGAGCGAGAACGTTAGGTGTTAACTTCACTGGGGGTCTCGGAACACCACTGGAAAGAAATGGAACCACTTATAAAAGTTGTTCGTGTCTTCCAGAAGCTTCCATGTCAAGAGAGTCATGGAATGACATGCAACTCCTGTGAACTGGAGCTCCTATGGCATGGGGTGGCCTTGGCACTAGACAGATGAGAATTGCACCTCAGGATCAGGCAAACACAAGCCCATCAGAGTTTTCTAGACCTTGCCCTTTGCTGCATCTTAGATCCAAAACGTTCTAAAGAGTGGGTTTTACTCCCACCTGGAGACAAGCCAGGCATCGCAGTGTGACATCATAAGAATCACTAAAAAATGACCTCACCTTTGAAAATGACCAGGAATGTACAGAGGTCATCTTCCTGTGATTGAATCAGCGTGCATGTTTGAAGGGGGCATTAAAGGGGAATGGAATGACCCATCTGTCCCCACACTAAATTTCAACTGTTCCATAATAAGCTAAAACACCAAAGCAGAATAATATCGTCTGGTCTCACAGAGCCGCATTTCTGACAGTCGGACCACAGTAAACAGTGACAAAATGCCACCACAGGTCGTGGTTCATAGGAAACTACACAGGCAGAGTGCCAGGCAAGGAGGAGTTGCGTTCTTAGATCTGTGTACTAAACAGTCACGATTTTAACTATTTGGCTGATCAGGCTGTCCAGGAGGCTGAGGCAAGAGAATCACAGATTAAAGGTCTGGGAGAACATGAGGTCAAGGCCAGTCAGAGCAACTTAGTGAGGCCCTGTCTCAAGACAAAAAGGAAGAAAACAAGCAGGGCTAGGTACACAGCTCAGTACTACAGCCCTTGCTTACCGTGTGTCATGCCTAGGCTTCACCCCAGCACCAAAAATATCCAACCTATATCCCCCCAAAGTAGATGGTAGCCAGAGGCTTAGTGCCTTTGCTCAACTTTATCAGATGGCATAATGAAAAACCCAGTTAAAGTGTATTCCCCAAGGAACACCTGCTTTTTCATTCCTCCCTTCCCACACTCCCTCACTTAAAGACAGGATATTCAGGGCGTTCTCCCTGTTGTTCCTTTTTCCTATCATGTTGCAAACAACTGCCGATCTGTTGGCCTCCTGCTTCACTTCGTGTCTACTGCTGTCTCAGCATCGTGGAAGCACCTCCTGCTCCAGAATGGAAAAGTATATTCTCATGAAACAGAAAGGACACTCTAACATGGTGGCTTTCAGACTCTGGGCCACCTTCTGGGGAAGGATGCCCTCGGGATAACTCCTCCCTGTCACGATTCTGCAGATCCCTTGAGGTTCCTGCCCCTGCCATGGTCTCCTCTACAATGTCCATTTGCATAGTTTGCTCATTCTGCCTGGAAATTCGCCCAGTCGTTTTACTTGCCCAGATCCCTAAGGATCTTTAAAGAAGCCATGTGTTCCACAGATAATCCTTGCCTGAATTCACCCTGACACAACCAACTGTAACTGGCTATTTCCAACAGCCACTTTG